TGAGGGGTTGGGGGGCTCTATAACCACTCCTCCCCTTCTGAGGTGGAAGTGAGGGGTGGGGGGGGCTCTATAACCCTCTTTTGGGGTAGGGGAAATGTTAAGACTGTATCACCCCCACCCCCCTGGGTTAGGGGCCTGTATAATCCTCCGGATACAGGGAACGGAGAGAAGAGGTGTTTGGTGTGGGTGGGACTGTGTAGCCCCCAGGACTGAGACTGGTTTTGGAGGATGGGGGAACTCTGTAGTTCACTGGTCCGGGGAGGAGGAAGAGGAGTGGGTTTCAAAGGAAAGGAGTATGTAACACCACCAACCTGACCCCCTGGGCTACAAGGAAAGAGGATACTGTGGGCAATGTATTATATACAGAGCTGGGTGATTGCGAATAACAGATTTTTTGGTTTGGGGCCAAACAGAAAAAGCCAAACAACACTTGGTTCAGTATGAACTGAAAATGGACTTCAGTTTTTCTCACCAAACCTCTCATGGAGGATAGGTCCATCAATGGCTATTAGCCAGGATGGGCAGGGATGGTGTCCCCAGCCTCTGTTTTGCCAGAAGCTAGGAATGGGCGACAGGGATAGATCACTTGATGATTACCTGTTCTGGTCATTCCCTCTGAAGATCCTGGCATTGGCTACTGTCAGAAGACAGGATACTAAGCTAGATGGACCTTTCTTATGTTCTTAACCAAACCAAAAATAAGTTTCAAGTTAAACAAAATGTTTAGTTTGACTTGAAATGATTGGATTTTTGTTTGTTTGTTCAGTTTGGTTTGGGTTTGTTTGTTTCATTTTGTATCAGTTGTCCTTTCAGAGAATGCTACAAGGAGGTCCCGGACTTCAATCTCTTACCTAGAAACCTAAATTTGGCCTCCAGAACCTCTCTTCTGCCTTTCCCGATGTCATTGGTACCCATGTGTACCATGATCACCAGCGCCTCCCCAGCACTGCATGTATACATGTCCTAGATGTCTTGAGAGATCCCCAACCTTCGTACCTGGCAGGCAGTTGCCCATGCAGTTCTAAGCTGGTATCCAACCTACAACAATGATCTATCCCAGATGCTTCTAAGAGAGGTGAATCTTCACCCTCCTCATATTCTCCCCAAAATAATGCATATCGGTACTTATGCAATTGTATATTTTGGAGTAGAGAAAAAATTTCCCAACCCAGCTGGTGATCAGCTTATGTCCTGAACCATGAGCAGTAGTCCTAATTTTTTATCAAGTCATGAATTAGCCCCCATGTAATTGTGTAATGTATAACGTTGCTAATTTGATTTAAAATACGATCCTATTAACAGGTCTGTGTTTGGACAGATGAGTGACGTACACTGCTCCTTTTAGTGTCAATATTGGGTTCACATGTAATGTCTTGCTTAAAAAAAGTGCCCCTCCTGTGCCAAAATATGATGATTTATTGTCCTTTGCAATAAATAATAAAGATCAGATGTTCTTTATGGTGACTCCTATGCAACTGAAATCCCCAACACCCATGTCGGGGTTTAAATATTGAGTTTGGACAATATGCAACAGACTTAAATTACAGCAAGGGAAGTTTAGGTTGGAAGTTAGGAAAAAATTCCTAAATTTCGGAGTAGTTAAGCACTGAAATAAATTGCCTAGGGAGATTGTGAAATCACCATCATTGGCAATTTTTAAAAGCAAGTTAGACAAACACCTGTCATGGATGGTCTAGATAATACTTAGTCCTGCCTCAGTGCAGGTAATTGGGCTAGAAGACCTCTCAAGGTCCCTTCCAGTCTTACGATTCTATGCATTAGTCTCTTGAATCCTGCATGTCTCTTTTGTGTACTGTAAAAAGAAAAGGAGTACTTGTGGCACCTTAGAGACTAACCAATTTATTTGAGCATAAGCTTTCGTGAGCTACAGCTCACTTCATCGGATGCATAAACTGGAAAATACAGTGAGGAGATTTATATATACATAGACCATGAAAAAATGGGTGTTTATCATACACATTGTAAAGAGAGTGATCATTTAAGATGAGCTATTACCAGCAGGAGGGTGGGGTAGGGGGAGCGAAAACCTTTTGAAGTGATAATCAAGGTGGGCCATTTCCACCACATTTCCAGGAGTTAACAAGAACATCTGAGGAACAGTGGGGGGGGGGGGGGGGAGGAATAAACAAGGGGAAATAGTTTTACTTTGTATAATGACTCAACCACCCCCAGTCTCTGTTCAAGCCTAAGTTAATTGTATCTAATTTGCAAATTAATTCCAATTCAGCAGTCTCTCGTTGGAGTCTGTTTTTGAAGTTTTTTTGGAGAAGAATAGTCACTTTTAGATCAGAAGTCGAGTGACCAGAGAGATTGAAGTGTTCTCCAACTGGTTTATGAATGTTATAATTCTTGACGTCTGATTTGTGTCCATTTATTCTTTTACGTAGAGACTGTCCAGTTTGACCAATGTACATGGCAGAGGGGCATTGCTGGCACATGATGGCATAGATCACATTGGTAGATGTGCAGGTGAACGAGCCTCTGATAGTGTGGTAGTGTCTATCAACTTCATGAAAAAACTCGTACAGATACAGACAGACATTATCTTCCTTTCCAAATGCAAACAGATGGACATCATACCAAAAGGACTGAAGATAAAAAATCCATTACAATCTACATACCACACAGACTATGCTGATAGCTTGTGCCACACGCTCTCAAAGAAACTGCGGAACCACCTGATCAACATCCTCTACAGCAAACAGGGAAAGATTAAAAATGAGCTCTCAAAACTGGATACTCTCATAAAAAACCGACCTTCCACACAAACTTCCTCGTGGCTGGACTTTACTAAAACTAGACAAGCCATTTACAACACACACTTTGCTTCTCTACAAAAGAAAAAGGACACTAAACTATCTAAACTACTACATGCCACAAGGGGCCACAACAGTGGTTCCCTTAACCCACCCAGCAATTTTGTTAATCTGTCCAACTATACTCTTAGCCCAGCAGAAGAATCTGTCCTATCTCAGGGCCTCTCCTTCTGCCCCTCCACCCCCATGAACATGATACAGTTCTGTGGTGACCTAGAATCCTATTTTCGACATCTCCGACTCAAGGAATATTTCCAACACGCCTCTGAACAACATACTAATCCACAGATACCTTCCTACCAACACTACAAAAAGAAGGATTCTAGGTGGATTCCTCCTGAAGGTCGAAACAGCAGACTGGACTTCTACATAGAGTGCTTCCGCCGACATGTACGGGCTGAAATTGTGGAAAAGCAACATCACTTGCCCCATAACCTCAGCCGTGCGGAACACAGTGCCATCCACAGCCTCAGAACCAACTTTGACATCATAATCAAAAAGGGCTGACAAAGGAGGTGCTGTTATCATCATGAATAGGTCGGAGTATGAACAAGAGGCTGCTCGGCAGCTCTCCAACACCACTTTCTACAAGCCATTACCCTCTGATCCCACTGAGAGTTACCAAAAGAAACTACAGCATTTGCTCAAGGAACTCCCTGAAAAAGCACAAGAACAAATCCGCACAGACACACCCCTGGAACCCCGACCTGCGGTATTCTATCTGCTACCCAAGATCCATAAACCTGGAAATCCTGGGCGCCCCATCATCTCAGGCATTGGCACCCTGACAGCAGGATTGTCTGGCTATGTAGACTCCCTCCTCAGGCCCTAACCAGCACTCCCAGCTATCTTCGAGACACCACTGACTTCCTGAGGAAACTACAATCCATGGGTGATCTTCCTGAAAACACCATCCTGGCCACTATGGATGTAGAAGCCCTCTACACCAACATTCCACACAAAGATGGACTACAAGCCGTCAGAAACAGTATCCCTGATAATGTCACGGCAAACCTAGTGGCTGAACTTTGTGACTTTGTCCTCACCCATAACTATTTCACATTTGGGGACAATGTATACCTTTAAATCAGCGGCACTGCTATGGGTACCCGCATGGCCCCACAGTATGCCAACATTTTTATGGCTGACTTAGAACAACGCTTCCTCAGCTCTCGTCCCCTAATGCTCCTACTCTACTTGAGCTATATTGATGACATCTTCATCATCTGGACCCATGGCAAAGAAGCCCTTGAGGAATTCCACCATGATTTCAACAATTTCCATCCCACCATCAACCTCAGCCTGGACCAGTCCGCACAAGAGATCCTCTTCCTGGACACTACGGTGCTAATAAGCGATGGTCACATAAACACCACCCTATACCGGAAACCTACTGACCTCTATTCCTACCTACATGCCTCCAGCTTTCATCCAGACCACACCACACGATCCATTGTCTACAGCCAAGCTCTATGATACAACCGCATTTGCTCCAACCCCTCAGACAGAGACAAACACCTACAAGATCTCTGTCAAGCGTTCTTACAACTACAGTACCCACCTGCTGAAGTGGAGAAACAGATTGACAGAGCCAGAAGAGTACCCAGAAGTCACCTACTGCAGGATAGGCCCAACAAAGAAAATAACAGAACGCCACTAGCCGTCACCTTCAGCTCCCAACTAAAACCTCTCCAACGCATTATCAAGGATCTACAACCTATCCTGAAGGACGACCTATCGCTCTCACAGATCTTGGGAGACAGGCCAGTCCTTGCCTACAGACAGCCCCCCAACCTGAAGCAAATACTCACCAGCAACCACAGACCACACAACAGAACCACTAACCCAGGAACCTACCCTTGCAACAAAGCCCGTTACCAACTGTGCCCACATATCTATTCAGGGGACACCATCATAGGGCCTAATCAGATCAGCCACACTATCAGAGGCTCGTTCACCTGCACATCTACCAATGTGATCTATGCCATCATGTGCCAGCAATGCCCCTCTGCCATGTACATTGGTCAAACTGGACAGTCTCTACGTAAAAGAATAAATGGACACAAATCAGACGTCAAGAATTATAACATTCAAAAATCAGTTGGAGAACACTTCAATCTCTTTGGTCACTCGATTACAGATCTAAAAGTTGCAATTCTTCAACAAAAAAACTTCAAAAACAGACTCCAATGAGAGACTGCTGAATTGGAATTAATTTGCAAACTGGATACAATTAACTTAGGCTTGAATAGAGCCTGGGAGTGGATGGGTCATTACACAAGGTAAAACTATTTTCCCATGTTCATTCCTCCCCCCACCCCCCACTGTTCCTCAGACGTTCTTGTCAACTGCTGGAAATGGCCCACCTTGATTATCACTACAAAAGGTTCCCCCCACCCCCCACTGTCCTGCTGGTAATAGCTTACCGTAAGTGATCACTCTCTTGTTACAGTGTGTATGGTAACACCCATTGTTTCATGTTCTCTATTTATATAAATCTCCGCACTGAATGCATCCGATGAAGTGAGCTGTGGCTCACGAAAGCTTATGCTCAAATAAATTTGTTAGTCTCTAAGCCCTGGTCTACACTAGGAGTTTAGGTTGAATTTAGCAGCGTTAAATCGATGTAAACCTGCACCCATCCACACGATGAACCCCTTTTTTCGACTTAAAGGGCTCTTAAAATCCATTTCCTTACTCCACCCCTGACAAGTGGATTAGCGCTTAAATCGGCCTTGCCAGGTTGAATTTGGGGTACTGTGGACACAATTAGATGGTATTGGCCTCCGGGAGCTAGCCCAGAGTCCTCCATTGTGACCACTCTGGACAGCACTCTCAACTCAGATGCACTGGCCAGGTAGACAGGAAAAGGCCCGCGAACTTTTGAATTTCAGTTTCCTGTTTGGCCAGCATGGCAAGCTGCAGGTGACCATGCAGAGCTCATCAGCAGAGGTGACCATGATGGAGTCCCAGAATTGCAAAAGAGCTCCAGCATGGACTGAACCGGAGGTACGGGATCTGATCGCTGTATGGGGAGAGGAATCCGTGCTATCAGAACTCCGTTCCAGTTTTCAAAACGCCAAAACGTTTGTCAAAATCTCGCAGGGCATGAAGGACAGAGGCCATAACAGGGACCCGAAGCAGTGCCACATGAAACTTAAGGAGCTGAGGCACGACTACCAGAAAACCAGAGAGGCGAATGGCCGCTCTGGGTCAGAGCCCCAAACATGCCGCTTCTATGATGAGCTGCATGCCATTTTAGGGGGTTCAGCCACCACTACCCCAGCCGTGTTGTTTGACTCCTTCAATGGAGATGGAGGCAACAAGGAAGCAGGTTTTGGGGACGAGGAAGATGATGAAGATGATGAGGTTGTAGATAGCTCACAGCAAGCAATTGAAGAAACCAGTTTTCCCGACAGCCAGGAACTGTTTCTCACCCTGGACCTGGAGCCAGTACCCCCCAAACCCTCCAAAGGCTGCCTCCCGGACCTGGCAGGCGGAGAAGGGACCTCCGGTGAGTGTACCTTTTAAATACTATACGTGGTTTAAAAGCAAGCATGTGTAATGATTAATTTGCCCTGGCATTCGCGGCTCTCCTGGATGTACTCCCAAAGCCTTTGCAAAAGGTTTCTGGGGAGGGCAGCCTTATTGCGTCCTCCATGGTAGGACACTTTACCACTCCAGGCCAGTAGCACGTACTCAGGAATCATTGTACAACAAAGCATTGCAGTGTATGTTTGCTGGCATTCAAACAACATCCGTTCTTTATCTCTCTGTGTTATCCTCAGGAGAGTGATATTATTCATGGTCACCTGGTTGAAATAGGGTGCTTTTCTTCAGGGGACACTCAGAGGCGCCCGTTCCTGCTGGGCTGTTTGCCTGTGGCTGAACAGAAATGTTCCCCGCTGTTAGCCACGGGGAGGAGGGCGGGGCTAGCCACACGGTGGGGGGAGGCAAAATGCGACCTTGTAACAAAAGCACATATGCTATGTATGTAATGCTAACAGCAAGGTTTACCGTGAAAGAGTGTACCCATTGTTCTATAAAATGTGTCTTTTTAAATACCACTGTCCCTTTTTTTTTCTCCATCAGCTGCATGTGTTTCAATGCTCACAGGATCTTCTCCTTCCCAGAGGCTAGTGAAGATTAGAAAGAGAAAAAAACGCACTTGTGATTAAATGTTCTCTGAGCTCATGCTGTCCGCCCACACTGACAGAGCACAGACGAATGTGTGGAGGCAGACAATGTCAGAGTGCAGGAAAGCACAAAATGACCGGGAGGAGAGGTGGCAGGCTGAAGAGAGTAAGTGGTGGGCTGAAGCTCAAATATGGTGGCAGCGTGATGAGAGGAGGCAGGATTCAATGCTGAGGCTGCTGGAGGATCAAACCAGTATGCTCCAGTGTATGGTTGAGCTGCAGCAAAGGCAGCTGGAGCACAGACTGCCGCTACAGCCCCTGTGTAACCAACCATCCTCCTCCCCAAGTTCCATAGCCTCCTCACCCAGATGGCCAAGAACACGGTGGGGGGGCCTCCAGCCACTCCACCCCAGAGGATTGCCCAAAAAACAGAAGGCTGGCATTCAATAAGTTTTAAAGTTGTAAACTTTTAAAGTGCTATGTGGCATTGTTCTTCCCTCCTCCACCACCCCTCCTGGGCTACCTTGGTAGTCATCCCTCTGTTTATGTGATGAATGAATAAAGAATGCATGAATGTGAAGCAACAATGACTTTATTGCCTCTGCAAGCGGTGATTGAAGGGAGGAGGGGCGGGTGGTTAGCTTACAGGGAAGTAGAGTGAACCAAGGGGCGGGGGGTTTCATCAAGGAGAAACAAACAGAACTTTCACACCGTAGCCTGTCCAGTCATGAAACTGGTTTTCAAAGCTTCTCTGATGCACACCACGCTCTCCTGTGCTCTTCTAACCGCCCTGATGTCTGGCTGCACGTAACCAGCTGCCAGGCGATTTGCCTCAACCTCCCACCCCGCCATAAACGTCTCCGCCTTACTCTCACAGATATTGTGGAACACACAGCAAGCAGTAATAACAGTGGGAATGTTGGTTTCGCTGAGGTCTAACCGAGTCAGTAAACTGCACCAGTGCGCTTTTAAACGTCCAAATGCACATTCTGCCACCATTCTGCACTTGCTCAGCCTGTAGTTGAACAGCTCCTGACTACTGTCCAGGCTGCCTGTGTACGGCTTCATGAGCCATGGCATTAAGGGGTAGGCAGGGTCCCCAAGGATAACTGTAGGCATTTCAACATCCCCAACGGTTATTTTCTGGTCTGGGAATAAAGTCCTTTCCTGCAGCTTTTGAAACAGACCAGAGTTCCTGAAGATGCAATTGTCATGTACCTTTCCCAGCCATCCCACGTTGATGTTGGTGAAACATCCCTTGTGATCTACCAGAGCTTGCAGCACTATTGAAAAGTACCCCTTGTGGTTTATGTACTCACCGGCTTGGTGCTCCGGTGCCAAGATAGGGATATGGGTTCCGTCTATGGCCCCACTACAGTTAGGGAATCCCATTGCAGCAAAGCCATCCACTATGACCTGCACATTTCCCAGGATCACTACCCTTGATATCAGCAGATCTTTGATTGCATGGGCTACTTGCATCACAGCAGCCCCACAGTAGATTTGCCCACTCCAAATTGATTCCCAACTGACCGGTAGCTGTCTGGCATTGCAAGCTTCCCCAGGGCTATTGCCACTCGCTTCTCAACTGTGAGGGCTGCTCTCATCTTGGTATTCATGCACTTCAGGGCAGGGGAAAGCAAGTCACAAAGTTCCATGAAAATGCCCTTACGCATGCGAAAGTTTCGCAGCCACTGGGAATCGTCCCAGACCTGCAACACTATGCGGTCCCACCAGTCTATGCTTGTTTCCCAAGCTCAGTATCGACATTCCACCGCATGAACCTGCCCCATTAGCACCATGATGCCTGCATTGGCAGGGCCCATGCTTTTAGAGAAGTCTGTGTCCATGTCCTCATCACTCACGTCACCGCGCTGACGTCGCCTACTTGTCCGGTATCGCTTTGCCAGGTTCTGGTGCTGCATATACTGCTGGATAATGCATGTGGTGTTTAATGTGCTCCTAATTGCCAAAGTGAGCTGAGCGGGCTCCATGCTTGCTGTGGTATGGCATCAGCACAGAAAAAAGGCGCGGAACGATTGTCTGCCTTTGCTCTGACGGAGGGAGGGGCAACTGACGACATGGCTTACAGGGAATTAAAATCAACAAAGGGGGTGGCTTTACATCAAGGAGTATTTCAGGCAGGACTTCACGGAGGGTTCCAATAAGAAATGGTGCACCTAAATAATTGTTCTTATTGGAACAAGCAGGTTTGTCTGGCCTCTGATTGATACGTGGCTAGATTTACCTCGCTGCACCTTCTCTGTGAGTGAGTGCAGTGTGACCTAGAGGAATGAGTCCCCTAGGCGGGGGGGAAGCAAATGAGTACAAATCAAATCTTGTCTATTTCTTGTTTTGATCCGCTCCATCTATCTTTTACATCTTTGGCTGGCAGCAGACGGTGCAGGACTGCAAGCCATCTACATCTCATGGCTGCTCGGCAGAAGATGGTGCAATAGGACTGCTAGCCATCCTAATCACCTGCCTGCTCACCAAAAGATGGTTCAATAGGACTGACTGCAGGACTAAAGAGAATGACCTGGTCGAGTCACTCCTAATTTAGTCCCTGCGCCCGTGTATGCCCAGGCGCTCCTGATCGACCTCACAGAGGCGACCAGGAGCACCTCGGACACGACGATGACGGCTACCAGTCCTATTGCACCGTCTGCTGCCACAAGGCAATGGGTTGCTGCTGCTGTGTAGTAATGCAGTACCACGTCTGCCAGCACCCAGGAGACATACGGTGACCGTGAGCTGAGTGGGCTCCATGCTTGCCATGGTATGGCGTCTGCACAGGTAACTCAGGAAAAAAGGCACGAAACGATTGTCTGCCGTTGCTTTCACAGCGGGAGGGAGGGCCTGATTACATGTACCCAGAACCACGCGTGACAATGTTTTTTACCTCATCAGGCACTGGGATCTCAACCCAGAATTCCAATGGGCAGTGGAGACTGCGGGAACTGTGGGATAGCTACCCACAGTGCAACACTCCAGAAGTCGACGCTTGCCTTGGTATGGTGGAAGCACTCCACCGAGTTAATGCATTTAGAGCATTTTCTGTGGACACACACACAATCGAATATATAAAAACGATGTCTAAAAAATCGACTTCTATAAATTCGACCTAATTTCGTAGTGTAGACATACCCTAAGGAGCCACAAGTACTTCTTTTCTTTTAACTGTTAATCAGTAAATCCAACCAAAACTGACTTCTCCAAGGTTTGTTGTTGTTAAACTAATCCAGAGTCGAGAGAACCCCTCACGCAACATATAGTCTGTTATAATTTGTATAAATGATTGGTTATCAATCAATTGGTTGATTATTGACAAATTATTAATGATCAGTTATTAGTTATTAATGGTGCCCAAGCTGGGAAGATACACAATATGATACTATAGGTTTGTGTTTGCTGGTGAATTGCTGCAACTTCTTTATTATCAATCTGACAACACTATACGCCTTTCAACAGCAGCCTCTCTCCAGTAGTTCCATGCTCCAGATCACAGCTGAAACTCTCTCCTATTGCTTTGGCAGGCAATTGATGGAATACAACCATCAGGCTTTTAATTCCTATCCTAATAATCTGTGCTGTGGGGAAATCCCCAAGGGCAGGACTGGTCTACAGAACTGAACAGGGAAGGATATAATTTCCTACTGCAGGGGCCAGGGCCCTGAGTGAAGCACTGGATGTTTGTGCCAATATCAGAAGCTTTAAAATCCCGTTGCTTTGCTTATCCTGCATCCTTTGAAGGACACAATATTTGACTTATGAAGTGGCAGGAAATGAGAGATTTCATGAATGAACTCTGTTTTGCCAAACTCTGTCAGACTAATTTCTACTCTGTCGAGAAGATTTAAGATGGGTGCATTGTACATCCAGCTGCTCAACATTTGTAAGTACATTCTTCATTGCTGTAGCTGGTTCCATCTGTCTTAAGCGTCATGAAAAGTGAACAAGATTTGTTTGACCTGTAGGCTGCATTTTAAGCAACCTAGTCAGAGATTTATGATGTACATCAATGAGATCAATGTAACATATATCCCTGCTAGCTGTAGCTTTAACTAAAGATTTACTGGAGTTCTATTTGTGCCTTTTATACGAAGCATCTACTAAAGAAGGCAGGGCTCCCTGAAATCTTTCCACGGGACTTACAGAGCTCATGTGACTCACAGGCAGATCCCACAGTGCACACACCCAAAAGCAACTCAGACTTTGTGCTCTGAAGATACAGTTAGACACAAGCACTGCCAAGAAATAGCTTTCAGCTACAAAAAGCATTCTGGGTACTAACATGCAAATAAATTGTACAAAAAACCTCACTGGCTGTAATGGAACAAGATATGGCTCTGGGACACTACCATAGCTTGGTCCTAAGTGTTCTGAACAGTGGCCCCTTCTTCCTAATTCAATGGCAGGTGTCAAGACATGCCTTAATGCACAAAACCTGCATATTGAATCTCCAGTATCAAGGTGCTGAAGGTCAAAGCTAACTTTCATCCTAGTGGGCTCAGTTTGGATACTACAGGAGAAACCATAGCAGAGCTCCAGTAGGGTTTTTCTGTGGGATAATTCCTGCCTTAAGGAAGGGCCTGAGGTCTGCAGTGCTTGTCCTGTTTACTAATAAGATTATATAGCACTTTTCATCCTCAAGGTTCACTTCAGGGCACTTCACAAACTCTGCCCAGGAGGGCTGCGGAAATGCAGCCCTATGCAGCACATCAATAGGATTATTTATTGTTTGTATTGCAGATCTACCGAAATGTTAGGCACTCTCCAGACCAGAGCCAGAATCTTCCCAAAGAGCTTAGTGAGATGAAGGGGAAGGGATACAATACATAAATGCTTCATGCATCCGATGAAGTGAGCTGTAGCTCACGAAAGCTTATGCTCAAATAAATTAGTTAGTCTCTAAGGTGCCACAAGTCCTCCTTTTCTTAATACATAAATATAGTGATCTGGAGGGAGGCAGGGACATGTTTTCTTAGCCCCAGGAGTTATTTGATGTGGTTTTTGAACACAGTGCTCCCAAGGGAGTGAATTAAATGAGGCAAGGGTAGAGGACAGATGGACAAAATAACTTTGTGAAAGTCATTTCAGGCAGACGGTAGCCTGGACTGAGGCACAGCAATTATTATGAAAGGAAAAGCCCAAAGATCTATTGAGATGTGTGTCATAAGCCTGAGGAGTGGATGTGAAATGAGCTCAGGTGGGAGATGGGAGCAGTGGCTGTTCACATTTTATATGCAGGGTAATGGAGAGCCAGGAGCTTCTAACTTTCCCCGTGAACACCCGAGACATTCCTCCACGGCCACGGCATCTAGAACCTCCAGAGGAGATTGTGGAGGAAGAGAAGAGTGGTACTGAGGAAGAGGTGACTCCAACAACCAACATCTCCTCCTCCTCCTACCTAGATGAAGTTGTCATGTCTCCGCCACTGTCCTGGGCCTATAACTTCCGGCTTTTTCAGAACCTAGCAAAACAAGTTGCAGATATCCTTGGAAGAAGTCAAGGACACCCATCACAAGCTCCTTGACATACTACAC